GCCTGCCACATTACTGCCGTGGCCAATCACTTTCCTCCCGCCTCCTCTTCACGGCCCTTCGGCCCCCATTTCCCCTGATTGCGTTTAACGCGGTTGGATGTGACCGGCCTGCAGATCGTTCTGGGACTCTGGGCTCTTTCTCCCCATAAACATGACACACACACCAAAAGCTTCACCATGTACCATGACTCTATTACTCAGTGGTGAAACACCAGTTACTGAAAGGTTGGCTTCTCTCTGCATATAAATCGTGCAGAACTGTAGCTCAACCAGTGCTGTTACCCACACAAACAAGACAGACACTCTTTCATTTGCATCTGTCCTGTTCAGTAGCCCAGGTGTGGCAGCACCTTAGGGCCACACACAGACTTTTCAAGTGTACTTTCAGTCATTGGGGCAAAAGGGCAGGTGCTCGGGCACCCCCAGACCCCTGCCCCCCCTGCCCTACGCACGTTCCTGCAACTTACCAACCAAACCTGTGTCCACTGCACACACAGCCACAAATGATACCACATGATAAAATACCCGGCACAAAAGCAAACCTACATATACTGGCACCAGGGGAAGGGTTGGTAGGTGACATATTGAGCATGTCCTGACCTCCTGTCATTGAGATTCCTGCCATCAAAGCCAGCGAATGTCGCCATGCAGCAAGCAAAGGTAACTGGATGCACCTGCAATTCATTCCTCACTGCGCAGCCCTCAGGATGACGACAAAGAGCTCAGGCGGAAAAGTCACCTCTGTCACAAGCTCTGTTTCCAACTGACCAGACACCCCAACCTGGAAAAGACTCCCTCAAATCACTCCTATCACTTCGTTAGATGAAGACCATAATGACTTAGACACAGAACGGCTGCAAATTGCTTTAAAAGCTATACACCACTAGCTGTGCTTCCACACACCTGAGACACGGACATCACACTCACGCAACCTGTTACCGTCGGTGCTAAATATACACGCTGATGAAACTTCCTGGATTGGAATAAACCCTCAGCTTTCACAATCAGGCCCCCAGACAATAGCAAGACGACAGAGGAGGCCTGATTTACCAGTGGCTTGACGGAGTCAGACACCAGCAGCATGATAAGGGGTAAGCATAAAGGCAGGAGCGCGTCGAAAGGTGCTGTCCTTGTTCAACTCAAAGGCGGCATGAATATTTCAGCTCTGCTTTTGGAGGGATGACGGGGAGCCCTGGTTTTTATCATCCCTGTGATGACTCACTTCAAGGGAAATCATGCCCTGAGCTGTCACACGTCCCCGTCCATGATCAGGGGACGTGGGGGGGGGGGGCGTCCTGAAAGGTTTCCTAATTATGCTACACGCCCCGGCTTTGCCTTCTGGGTGCTTTCTGCAGCCACGGCTCAAAGTGAGAACATGACAAACTCTTGCCGGTTTTGTTGATTTTAATTAAAGCCGTAAACAATCGCTGCATGGCCCTTAGGAAAAAGCCGTAAAGACACACACAGGTTCTCAAAGCCCCGGGAGGACTCTTCAAAGGGAGAACCAGTGACAGATGAAAGAACTGCAAGGCAGGTATCAAAAGAGAGAGTCATAAAGATGAAGAACGGAGGAGTGTTTGTGTCAGGGGGTAGGTGCAGGAGGACAGAGATAAAGCTCAGGGGCGCCCAGAGTGACGAAGGACACAGAGATTTAGCACAAAGCAAAAGCCAGTCAATACTGCTCTTTCCAGGGGGGGAAAAAAAAAAGTTTTTTTAAATAGTGCCATAGCTAGTAGGAAAACTTTGAATTGGTGATTGGCAGGGTTAGGGGAAAGGTGGGAGACTGTCACACTGTGTGAGAGACTCTCAGAGGTTGAAGAATTGCTTCGGAGGCAAGGTACCTGCAAGTGGTCCCACAGGCTGCGTTTAAAACGCGTCACATGGACCTTGGCCGCAGCACTTAATGAGCCAGGAGTCACCAGATGCTTCTCACAGGCTTAGATAAAAGAGGTGTGAAACGAGTCAGCTCAGGATTAAAGGGACTCCCGCAAATGAATGCTGTACCTATAATAATAATAATAACAATAATAGTGTGTTAGTGTAGTAGTAGTATCTATTATTACTACTACTACTACTACTATATGTCTAACACATTCACTTAAAATGCTTTGCATAGTTCTTTCTTGAGTATCCTGGAATTAACAGCACTCCCCGCTGACAGACCATGAAGGGGACAGGGGGGTTTCATAGGACACGCGTCTCCAGCATGTGTTCAGACTGCGGAGACGGAGCCTGGCACTTACACAGAGCCACTGGGCCGAGGGCATGTAAACAAATCAGTGACTTTAAGCAACAGCTTCGCGTCCCGGGGCCGTTCGTGATGAAACCGTAGAGTACAACACGCACGCAGCGCGCGGGCAGCGTATGTATGTTAGTCAGTAACATCGTATTAATACGTATTCAATTTTACGAGATACCCCCTGTACATAGCCAGTGTATTCACAAGCTGCTGAAATTCACATCGCTCTTGATTTATTGGGGTCTCACTTAACCGTTCTACGTCTTTAAAGATAATCTCACAGTAGAATAACTCATAGCATCTTTTATTCTAGTTTATTTCACCGCATACCTTAACCACGCTCATTCACACATTTCTCTTCCTGTCAGTTGACTACGAAGCAGCCTGCAAATTTAGCCCTCGGAAAAAGACGGCCTCGTTTCTCTCGCTTCCCGGCTATTTCTCTGACGTCGCCGCACGCTTGTTCCCTCCCGCCCCCGTCCTTTTTCCCCCCACCAGTCGCTTTTCGAGTGCAAAGCGAGCGGATAATTAGGTTTGAATGGATTGTCCAAACAACGTGATAAATCAATTAGCGACGATTCTCAGATGTATCGTCGCGGGTATTTGTCATTGGCAGCAACACGCTAAAGCAGTAGCGAAAAGCAAATGGGGGAGGGGGGTCGTTAAAAATTACCCGGGGGGTGTTTAGGGCGGCAAATGAACGAACTCATATTTATACTCTGACAAGGAGGATAACCAACAATCTTTTTACAGTTAATTAGACTGAAGCCTCCATCAGTAATGATGTAATGAAAGTGAGGTAATGCCTTTCATTAGATCAGCTCAGGTGAGCACTGGAGGGTCAGTCACAGAATACTGCTGGTGTTGATTACAAAACAGGAATTAAGTGAGATGCCTTCAGGCTTCTGCACATGAGTAGCTTTAAAGGGAGGATTTATGCTCAAAGTCATACCCTCATTCTGCATCAGAGAATAAATGCTCGGCGATGAAGCCAACAACAGAGGGACAGAAGTTCACTCACGGGAGTATTACTTACACAAAAATGTTCTGAGGGCCAAAAGAAAAATGATTG